AAATACTTGTTTCCCGTGCAAAGACTGGGAAAAGGAAGAAACATGTCACCTTTTTCCAATTTTTCGGACTAGTTACAGGTCTTTTTTGTGGTTTTTGAGATGTGGTTGTGCTTGAAATTTTGCTGAAACTTGTCAGCCCAGTTAATGATATTAGTCGAACAAATGTATTGTACATCTAAAACTGCTCAAAAAGAGCTGATTCAGTGTATGCTGGATGACTGTATTTCGTCACTCTCAAATGCCTTTTATAGCATTACTTTTTAAATTCACTAGATAGTAGTTTGTAGCATAAGTCAAGCATGATAGCGACTTCATTTTGCTTGAGGCTGTGTCATTATTAATGTCGTCCTGCCCCACCAAAATCTAAAGTCAGCCGTAGCTGCTGGTTAAAAACTGAATTTTGATTATGAAAAAATCAACTCACAAGGATTCAGGTTCAAAACAAATTATCGGCAGAATTTCTCACTTAATCAAGCCCATATCTCAGGTGTAATTCAGAGCAAAGAAAAAAGAAATAATAATAATTACTGTAAACCAAATAACTAGACAAAAATGTTATGTGCTACAAGTGGCTAATTACAGTAATCCAAATATGCCTTCTCTAGTAGATTTTTTTCCCCAAATAAAAGAAAAAGTAACAATTATTTCTCAGTTCGTTTACACATTTCCTATATTGTCTAATTCTAAGGATTGATTTCTTTAGGTTTAACCAAAACTGTAAATGCAGGGTGTTGAGAAACTTTTGGCCAACAGTGAATATATTCTGTTTTAAGGTGCCATCAACTGTGTTGATATTGTGGACTAAAGTAAAAATACAAACTTATACTGTAAAATATTTCCACAGATTTATTACTCATCTTCATTTCTGAGAATTAGGCATAATTTCTGCTTTTCTCTAGTTCACACATTTCCACTAAACATAAATGCTTAAAGGAGAGATGAGAGACTACTATCCAGACAAAGTGTAGATTACAGACAGGACATGTGAATCAACTAGGTCCTCGCACCTGGCTATAAATCATCAGTGGCAAGACAAGCAAGTAATGAGCTGCTAGAGGTCTCTGTTCATAACACACTCTTCAGCACCTGCAATTTACACCAACTACAAAGAGCAGGTCTGCCAAGCAGGGCAAGGGTGAAAAGGTCTCCATTCACACACAGAACACAGCAGGATAAACATGGCCAGGACTACAGAGCATTTGGGTGAGTTCATGAAGGTAAGAGTTTATGTTCGGGTGATTCGTGTCCAGTGAGGAAGCTCAGAGCACCTTAAAGTCTTTGAACAGAACCTTATTTTGCCCATGGGTTGCATTAAATCATTATTTTTTCTTATAAATACATTAACTGAAAGATTATCACATAATTTGTGCTACTTTGTAGGAACCATCAAAACCTCTCCTGACAGGCATTTTCCCCGTTGTTTGGGTAGGACCATTAGGCCCCCTTGTGGCTAGCATTTTCTGAACAACAGGAGACACAGGGAAACAGTAAGCAGTAGCCAAACTATAAATGTATAAGTTAACTAACTGGGAATCAACACAAGTAAAAGTTAAAGTAACTCATGACGAAACTACTCAAGTACAAGTGTCTCACATGTACCTAGCAATCCTAAGTATCAAAAGTAGAGAAAAAGTTGTAGAATCTTTCAGTTTTGTTTTCTAAGTTTTATTTATGATCAAAAATCTCTCTTAGACTGTGAACAAAAAGTCTGGTCCAAACAATATTGTGTTGTTATAGTGAGCCAGTTGCTGAGAGCACTGGAGTTAGGAATTCACTCTAGAAGGGACACAGCCGGGGTGTCCAAACTTTCTGCAAGGGGGCCGAGATTAAACCTCAGATTAGAATTCAGTAAGACTGAAGAAACAGTCAGAAACTGTAAAGGGTGCTGCACTCTTTCTGCAATTACAGCCACACCTAAGTACAGATCAGGGCTGTAACTGAACCGTGACTGCATTTCAATGTAACTGATGAAAGTGATCCAAATGGGAATTACATTAATTTCTGATGCAAAGTCAGTTTAATTAACAAACAAACAAAAAAAAAAAACAATCCTCTGCTGGTTGTTTCTCACTAAGAGATAAAGCAACATAAGAGCATGTGCATAGCTCTCTCATAAGAGCACCGAAGGTTTTCCTTTTCAGTGTGTCCTCATGTCACAATTGAAATCCAATACACTCAATGCTACACATTTCCCCTGGTGTGACTGCTTTTCTATCTGGCACAGAACATTCGCTATATTTTTTCACACCCCCCACTACAGTATTGTACCCCAGCTTTGCTTAGACTAGTCCAGCACTTCTTATGACCCCCTCGGACCACGGTGATGAGCGCACTGCATGCTAGCGACTAGTCCACCAGGGAACTGATGATGAAATACACCATATTTCCAAAAGTATGTGGACACCTGACCATCACATCCATATGTGGCCCTTCCTCAAACTGTTGCCACAAAATTTAAAAGCACACAATTGTCTAGAATGACTTCTAGCAATAGATTTTCCTTCACTGAAACTAAGACACTAAGCCCAGACTTGTTCCAGCGTGACAATGCCCCTGTGAATAAAGTGAGGCCCATAAAGACATGTTTTGCTAAGGTTGATGTGGAAGAACTTGAGTGGCCTGAACAGAGCCCTGACCTCAACCCCTAATGCCTATGGGATCAGCCGGGATGCTGGCTGCGAACCAGGCCCTTCTTGCCCAACAATAGTGTCTGACTTCACTAATGCTCTTGTGGTTAAAAACGTAAATCCCCAAAGCCCTGCTCCAAAATCTAGTGGAAAACCTTCCCAGAAGAGTGGAGGTTATTATAACAGCAAAGGTGTCCCACCTCCATGTTAATACCCATGGTTTTGGAATGGGATGTTCGACAAGCATATATGGGTGTGATGATCAGGTGATGGTCACCACATACATTTGGCCATATAGTATATGTTGTATGAATAAAATCGGAAATAGATAAATGATTGAACAGGTGCTGGAATTGATCAACTAGGAAAAGAGATAGGCTGAAATATCAAAAGACAGCAAATGATAGACAGCGGAGTACTATAATGTTACTCAAGTTATAGTCCGTTTTTTTGGACTGTTTGAGACTTTAGGAAATGACCGAATGACTCTGTAATCTTTATTTCTATTAGATCTGTATCATTTGACTAATCATAAGGCTGCTGGTGATTTTTTTATTTTTGAGATCCCATAGGAGGTGTCACTCAGTAGCACAAAAAATGGACTAATCCCAATTTTCCCCTGACCCCTACATATATAACTGACCTACACAGAGCATGCAGTAATGAAATGTTCCTGCATGCTCTGTGTAAATGTTCACTGGAAGGCCAGATGATGGTAGTAAACAGTAGTAGGAAGCAGGACAGGACGCCATCACTGGCTGCATATGGACACAGCCTGTCTCTCTAATACACTACACTGCAAGCCCAAGCAGAGACTCAGCTATGGCCTGTACTGCTGTGTGGTGGAAGATGAGCTCCACTGCCCTGGACAAGATGCTCTGCTCTTTTCTCTTATCCTGCTTTTTATTCATGTCGATCATCAGTAGTGTTTATACCGCTCCAGAGACAGGATATTGGACTATTACAGTGGTCAATGTAAGTAGACACATCACCATCGAGGGAGTGTAGTGTGTTACCTGAGTCGAGTATTCAGGCCGGTGAACAGGACATGCTAATTAATTAATTAATTAACTAACTAACTAACGAACTAAATAGCCAAACAGACATTTTTCCTAGAGATTTATTTCATTTAAAACGAAATATAGTCGCATTATACTAGCTTGTGTAATTCACTCCCATTCACCAAAAACTAGCTTTCCAAATGCTTAGCTTATTAGCTGGTCAGCTAACTAGCAAGCTGATGTGGCATTAAGTCATGGCTAATGCGAGGTCCTAAGCTTTAGTTTAGTGCAGTAAAAGACAGCTGCTATGCGACTCATAAACAGCAAGAACACGGAAACATTAGCAGTGTGGATATGTGTTTAGTAAGTACTATTAAGTACTGCTAAGCTAGCTAATCTGTCAGCGAGGCTCTAGCTAATGTAGCTAGCCAGGTTGACTTAGCTAGATAGCTGTCTGTTTCAGCTAACAGTCAGGAATTAGCCTAGCCACTACCTAACAAGTCGGAGAAGAGAGGAGTGGTTTTTCGTTGTTCAAATTCATTCTCGTTTTTAGGTCTTATTTTTATTTCTTGACTTTTGTTTACATTTGAGTGTTTGTTATTAAATATTTAAAGGCAGCCCTAGTGTTTCCAGTTGATATCTAATGTCTGAAAGGTGATGCTGTGTCTCAGTAATGGGACTGGAAACTACAGAAGGCAGCACAGCTAATTTTTTAACTCTTTTTTTTTTTTTCCTTGTATTGCCATTACTTGGCCATTTTGTCATTTTTAATCGTACCATAAAGCTGCACTTCACTCACAATAGCTGTCTCTAGTCCATCTATATTATATTATTACTACTATGCACAGTTTCTGTAGTGTGTGTGGTACTAGTGTATCAGACACAGCAGCTTTGCTTGTATTTGTAGTGCAAACAGTCCACCAATGCACAAATTCAGAAGGAAACTGAGCACTGATACATTGTGCATGGGGGGGTGGGGGGGAGCTGGTGTGTCCAGTATCGCTTTTCCACTGAGTACGCTCACACATGTGAACGCAGAGCCATCCAGGGTCCATCAAATAAGAAGGTGTTGTGAAGGTTGTGCAGTGTTGGTTAGTGCTTACCACAAATAGTAAAAACAGGCACGTCTCATTTTACTTTAAAATGTGCTTGGTGCAGTTGTGTCTCCCTCACAGGGGGAAACTGTTGAGCATGAGACACAGCAAGGCGGTGATCAACCCAAACCAAGCCAAAATGATCATCTTTTAGAGGTCAGAAGTTTGAGTCAAAGCTTTGAGGTGAAACTTTGAGTCATAAGACTACTAACTAGTGAAGTACATTTGGATCTGACCATTGGATTTGACCAATTAATCATTACTGAATTATTTCTGGGTTCCTGGAGGAATAGTGGTTAGGCTTTGGCGCTCTCACAGCCATGGCCCAGGCTCGATTCCCGGCCAGGGAACTGAGCCGAGCCACTGGAGTTGCACACGACAGTGCACTCCCAGTGCAGGTCCCAAGCCTGGATAAAAAGGGTTAGTTGACTGGGGAGGGTTGCGTCACGAAGGGCATCTGGCAAAAACTGTGCCAAATCAAATATGCGGACCAATGATCCGCTGTGGCGACCCCTAACGGGATCAGCTGAAAGAACAACAACCATCATCTGCGTTGTTTCTAGCTCCAGTCACTGTTTGAGGTGCGTGATACTGAGGCAGGAAGGGTAACTAAATTCATCATGAGTTCTTAGGCCTGCTTAGTGTGTGGGCCATAAGACAATGGATACAATGACGAAATGTGGGGTAAAAGTTAATTTACTGTTAAAATCACAGATGTCAGGTACATTTACATTTAGGGTTTATGACTATGATTAATGACCTCTATGGATTTTTTTTTTTTCTGATAGACATCAAGACCTTTGTTATTAAAAAAGTCCATGTACAAGGACACTGACATCCAGTTAAGAGGTAGGGATTACATTCAGTACAAATAATATTATCAGCCATGTGGCTTTTTATACACACTGAATATTAACTGTTGACTGACTGCTGTGTAAGCACACTGTAACACAATGGCAGGTCACTAATATAACGTTTCCTCCTTTGCAGTCTCTTCCTTTAACTGTCCAGCCGAGGTCTCATTTGGTATTAGGTGGTATTTAAAGTTCTACCCTTGTCACAACGAATTCAGTAACATAGAGGTGAGTGGTGTACGTGCACGTTATGACAGCGCATATGTATGAATCAGATTTTTCATGTTAAAGTTTCCATTGCGTTTTTTTTTTTTTAACCACCAGGAAATGTATGACAGGACACCACTGAGTAGAGGAGAGGGTCTAGATCCCAATCCTCTTGCACCAGGAGAGTACATCGAACACAAGTACAGAATATTAACCTGCAACAACGGAATCCAGGTTTTCCCCATGCTAAATGTATGTAAAACAGGTTTCATTTCATATCATAGTGGCTAAAACATCGCCTTAGCTTTTAAAATGGTAGCAATATTAGTCAGGCATCATTTTATTTCCTTGGGCTCAGGGCATGGACACTGAGTAGATTGTGTTATTTATTTATTTATTTATTTTTAAATGAAATTACATAGTTTTTATCCAGCAGGCATGCAAACCCCTGCTCATACAACCCAGTGAGTGTAGACCAAGACAGGAAGAGAGTGTCATACACATCAGTACACACATTCGTACACATGTTACTATATGGACACCTGACCATCACACCCATATGTGCTTGTTGAACATCCTATTCCAGATTTAGTTCCCTTTTACCGTTATAATAACCTCCACTCTTCTGGGAAGACTTTCCACTAGAGTTTGGAGTGTGGCTGTGGGGATTTGTGCTCATTCAGTTACAAGAGCATTAGTGAGATCAGGCACTGATGTTGGAGAGGAGGTCTGGGGCTCAGTCAGGGTTCCAGTTCATCCCAAACGTGATCAGTGGGGTTGAAGTCAGGGCTCTGAGCAGGACACTCGAGATCTTCCACTCCAACTTTGGCAAACCATGTCTTCATGGAGCTCGCTTTGTGCACAGGGGCATTGTCATGCTGGAACAGGTTGGGTTCCAGTAGTTCCAGTGAAAGGAAGTCTTAATGCTACAGTATACAAAGACATTCTACATGATTGTGTGCTTCCAAATTTGTGGCAGAACTTTAGGGAAGGCCCACATACGGGTGTGATGGTCAGGTGTCCACAAACCTTTGTTTCAGAGCTCCTGTTGTTTTGCTCAGTGGCACTATTTGGACTACTACTGTATTTTATTTTTTTAATTTAACATTTCTGTACAGTCAGAATGTCTTCCCTGTTCTCTAAATGTGCTTTTATATCATCTGCAGAAATCCCAAGCAGAGCCAAGAACAGTGGAACCGCAACGAGAGGATTTATTTCACGTAAGACCATACAGGCCTGTATAACGGAGGTTTGCCTTATTGTGATACTCAAAAAATGCACTTATATTGGTCACTTTTTGTGTTCATTTTGTTAGGATGCCAATTACACCAGGTGGCTTACAGAGGAAGTTGTAGTTCAGCCGGGTAAAAAGGTAAAGTTCATGTTTCTTTATGTCTGCAAAAACAAAAAGCTGATGTCTGCAAAAAAAAAAAAGAGGGTGTAAAGCAGTTTTATAGGCAGCACATCCTTCTCTCAAAAGGATCACGTCATTGCTACAACATGGAGAGATGGACCATATCTACTTGTGGTGTTGATCGAGACTGATAAAAAGGATGTCAACTGGAATTTAACCTGTAAGCCTCACGGTCACTGCATATCTATTATTTATTTACGCCTTTCGATTTCCTATAAAAACACATATTGGAACTTTAACTCATAGTAATATTGCTACTATTGAATTACTGATTACAATAATAATGTGTTTTACTTTGTTACAGTCACTGTGCTAATGAAAGGAGACCATGGTTACATTTCCGTCACGGAATGGCCTCTAATGATCGTGAGTGTTCGAGTTGCTGTTGTTTTCTTGTATAAGATCATACACTTCGCTATACACTTCGAATCATCTTATGTCTGTTAAAGTCTATATAAATGATATATATAACTCTTTTTGCATGTTGTGTGGTGTTTATTGTCTATCCTTTTAGTTCTACATGGTGATGTGCATCGTCTACATCCTGTACGCTCTGCTCTGGTTCGTCTGGGCCTCTTGCTACTGGAAAGACCTGCTGCGTATCCAGTTCTGGATAGCTGGCGTGATCTTCCTGGGCATGATCGAGATGGCAGTGTTCTGTGCTGAGTATGAGAACACTAATGCTGTTGGCTCAGCGTGTAAGTGACAAAAAAAAGAGACCTAACATGAAAATATGGTTTAGTGTTTTTTTGTTTTTTTAAGTTAAGGCAGTAAAGATGGATTTCACGGAATTGTAGTAGTGGGAATTGTAACCTTGGCAGTGTTTACCGTACAGTGTACAGAGGTACGCCTGTGTAAATAAGGCTGTTTGTGTACCTTCAGGAGAAAATGATGCTTTCTTGAGAATTAGTCACCTTGCTAATTTGCTCTCTAGTAAGCATATGCTTTTCACACTTCTGTTTTCACACTTCGCTTCAACCAAACCACGTCACTCACTGTTTCTACCTTTGGGATGCAACGGAACAACTTGTTATGGTTATTGATTATATATAAAAGCAGACATTCATAGAGCCGGAGCCTTGTGGTTCGAGTGGTTGCACTGAAACCATCGCAGCAAATGCATGTGTCATGTGAAAACGTTCTTAGAAACTTGACTTGACTAAATTTTCACACGCCTACTTAAAGATAAGACTGTAAAAGGATTTGAATGCAAATCCTTTTTCTAATTACCCTCGTTTTATTCATTAAGTTTGTATGCCCATTTGCTCTGTCATAACCAGTGTCAGTTCTTTCTTCTTTCTACAGCTCAAGGCCTGCTGGTTTTCGCTGAACTTGTGTCAGCTCTGAAGAGAACCCTAGCACGACTCCTGGTCATCATTGTCAGTCTGGGCTATGGTATAGTCAAGTGAGTAGTGGCTAAAATCTGCTATAAATTACTAGTTATCAGTGATGGCGACAACCGTTAAGTGCGGCGTGTTTTGTAATTGTGTTTTTCCAGGCCTCGCTTGGGGACTGTCATGCACAGAGTCGTGGGTCTAGGTGTCCTCTACTTTGCCTTTGCTGCCATTGAGGGTATTTTGAGGATTACTGGGGTAAATAAGCTTTAATGCCAATGCTTCTGTTTGTATACATAAGGCTCTCTTATGCAGATAGATGGAGCCGAATGTGCCATTTGTGAAGAAATTTGGAATTTATCTGCCCGCTTTTAAATTGTAGCGAGCAATGCACTTACTAACTATGTAAGTTACAATGGCATTTAATAGCCGACTTAATCAACTATCCTAAACATGTGACGATAGTTAGGTTTTGCTCTTAACTCCTAAAAATAAATGTGCAAAAGCTTCTTTTCTTACCGTCTCCAGCGACGTTCAGTATCATATTAATGAGGAATCCAGTGTAGAAGTAGTGGAGACAACAAATGTTGGACTCAGAAGTTCCACAGTTCAGTGCAGCAGAGTTACAGCAGAGATCTGCGACATGACTACATGACGTCGTTGATGGTGGTATTAGTATGAAAGCTGTTTGAGCAGAGTGTACAGATGAGGAAATGAGAGAGCTGCACAGACAAAAGGACTAAAGCGCTGTTGCATCGCTCTTTTTAAACAGAGATGAAATGAGAGCTAATTCCTACTGGCTCAGCTATCAGCAGGTAGTCCAATGGCATTTTTAAAGAAGTCGAAGTCGACCTTATTAAAGAAGTTACATTACCGAAAATGTAAACCCAGTATTTCATTCCAATAAAAAACGGAAAGTCTTGGATGCACATTAACGATAAAGTCATTCGGGGTGGATTTTTCCTGTAATAAATGTAATGGCCTCTTCTGTATAAGATAAAGAAAAAGGGGGTGAATCTGGTTTGTCTTGCCCTGTCTAAGTGAGTAAGTGTTATGTGTGTTGATCTGAAAGGGCCGGGACAGTGTACCATCTCTGATCACTGCCATTGTACTGACTGTGTTTGACTCCTGCATCATTTGGTTCATATCCTTCCAAAGGTTTTGTTCTTCCAGTCATGTAACCGTATGAACCTGGAAATGCTATATGGTCTATTAGGGTTAGCACAATAAGAATTGCCCCTTTAAATGTTAAAGCAGAAACTTTTAATCTGTACTTTGGCTGGATGTTAAGTTGTAAATGTTCCAGTAAAGTCAATCAGAGTAGAGGTTTCTAATCTTTTCCAACCTGCAGCCTATGACAGGACAGAACTGGACTGTTGTAATAGATTTGTCTATATTGGTAATCAAAGGACCAAAAAAACCCAGACCTGCACAAGCTACAGGCTTCAAGACCTCACACTGATTCACAAAACAAAGATTTTGCCTTGTAGCCTGTATATGAATGTCACTTATTGCTCAATGTAGCTGCACGCTACACCATT